TTATTTTTCATGGAGAATTTCATTGTTGCTGTTGTTCTTATTTCTATTTATTTCGTAAAAGGCAGTTTATATAAAATAATTTCCTAGGTGAAGTAACAGTCAGTATCTATTAGCATATATACTTTTTGGCTTTAGGTGATTAGAAGTGGTCTTTACCAAAAAACTGCATTTAAATGTGAAAGAGGTACAAAAAATAACAACCCTTGATACTGTACAGCCATCAGCTAGATTTGCTGACTTTAAGAATTGAGGAGAGGGATATCAAATGCTCTTTTCTCTCTGTTTTTTTCTTGATCACCCTGATCAAGTTTCAGGGTGATAAAGACTAGCTTTCAGAAAAGTAATATACCTACACATAAATTTAGCGATAATTTAGTTCAATATCTCATGCAGTTATCTCACCAATAAAGGAAATTTCCTTATGCTATTGAATTTAAAAAGTAGCCCAGTTTTTCATTTGTAATTTTGTCAATTTAGAACTATATTGTCAAAACATTTGTGATTCTTGAAATTACTATGAAATTATTTACAGATTTTTCATTTTATTAATTGCTTTTTTTCTAGTTTTCTATTTCATACACATAGGTACAAGTAACTACAACAAAGGGGCAAAACAACACGTAACACAGTTTTAAATGCTTTCCAAAACAGTTTTACCACTACTTCTGTCAAATTGACTAGCACGAGCAGAAGACATTGTATGTTAGAAAGCATGGACTATTATATAGGCTGAGAAAAACTTGGTGCTTCAGTTTATCATGTCCCTAGCTCAGCTCTACCAGCCTTGGGAATAGAGACTAGAGATCAACTATAGAGGAACTATTTCCCTTCATCTACATAGATGAAGGCCACTTTTTTTCAGCCAGTTACCTGATGTCATCAGGAGTACTGTATATTCTCTTTTGGCAATCTATCAAACTCTTATTCGAAGGATATAACAAAAAACCACATCCAGTTTTTTCTTTCTGACAGTAGTCCGTTATTCTATCTTTGGTCTCCAGGTCAATACACCATTGTTTTTGCAGTGCTGGGAGACCTCATCACTGTCTCCAGCTACCTGAAAGGAGGCTGTAGCCAGGTGGCCGTTGGTCTCTTCTGCTGGGAAACCAGTAGTAGGACAAGAGGGCATGGTCTTAAGCTCTGCCAGGGGAGGTTTAGGTTGGATATTAAGAAAAAATTTTTTACAGAGAGGTTAATTAGGTATTGGAATGGACTGCTCAGGGAAGTAGTGGATTCACTGTCCCTGGAGGTTTTTGACATGAGACTGGACGTGGCACTGAGTACCATGGTCTAGTAACCTCAGCAGTGCTGGATCAAGAGTTGGACTTGATGATCTCGGAGGTCTTTTCCAATCTGGTTGATTCTATGAGGGATATAGCATTGGGAATAAACAATAAGCACAGGCAACACCGAATGTAAGATTTTCCTGCCTGATTATTTATATATAATAATGACATGGTTTTGAAGCTGTTCAGATTTTGATAATCAAAGAATTTGTTCTGATGGGGAGGAGGTTTAGAGGGCAGAGTGCAGAGGGAGAAGTCAGAAAGTGTATGAGCAATGCAATTTCTTACAAGTTCTATAACTTTGTCACTCTGTCATCATGGAACTGCAAAGGGTCCCCAAGGGATGTGACAAAATATGTGTTGAACTGTGATGAATGTGCATTTACAAAACTCAGTTATTCAGATGAATTCAAATATGGGTCAATTTGATTATGGGAGATAGGGGACTCTGAGATTCAGAAGTCCCCAGTATGAAGGATGCATGTCCTCATGATGGTGAAGCATACGCATTTTGCATCACTGTGCTCATACTGGTTTCCTGGGAATTCATTATAGTCTTGCTGCCACGCTAAGCAGTAACTACTCTGCTGTAATGATTTCCAGCAATGCTGGTGGAACTTTCCCACCTCATCTTATTTAATTATTTCTTTTAATTTTAACTCAGTCTGACAGTCTCTTGAGATACACAACTCATTTTCTTAGGGGCTCCCAGGAGACAACAATAACACAAGTCTACTCTGCAGTTGCATGCATCTTTATAACAAAAATCATAAAGCAGTGCACTTTATCTGAAACTGCAGACAAGAGCAATGAGCAGGCAGCATCTCAGCATATTAGCTTAAGGCAACAATTCAAGGGATTTCAGAAAGTTCAGGGGTTTGTTTTGGTTTGGTTTGTGGGTTTTTTCCTTTGGTCACAGTTCAAGTTTCTTTGTTCATTCCTTTACTGCCTCTTCTGTGCTAACTGTTTGAGGTATTTCCATCTGAACTTCCCCCTGCAGGCCCCTCTGATCTGATGTCTTCAAGGTAGATTTGAGGTTTATGTGGTGGAGGGTGGAGATAAGGGAGGGTGGGGACAGGTTTGTAATGAATGCTTGTACCTTTAGTACCTTTAGTAGGAGAGTGCTGAGTGAGAATGAGGACCTTGGTACTGAACATTAGTTAGGCTTTGTTTTTAAAGATGTTTGCCAGAGCTATAACACTTCAAAGAATCTGCACTAAAAATCCCCTCCCTTTTAATAGTTGTATTTCTCTTAGCCTGGAAATGATTGCCCAGGCTTCACATACAATTTGGGATCAATTGAGGCCTGAACTTCTAAGCATGATTATAACAGAAAGTAGGTGTTGTTGTAATATTTCTTTCCCATTGTTCAGAATAAAGGATTTTAAAGCTTTAATTTTGGGGTCAGGTGTTTAAGAGTTATTCTCTTAATTGAGTTAAATAAAATAGTGGTTTTAACAAAATATAAATTTAATGCCTCCTAGTTAATGCTAATGCTAAGAAGAACAGATATTTTTTGAGATGAAGAAGCCCTTGATATTTTCCTGCTTTTTTTCCTCTTTTTTTTTTTTGTTTTGTTTTGTTTTGTTTTGTTTTGTTTTTGTTTTTGTTTTTTTTTCCTATGGATGATTTCTGAGAGGGGGGAGAAATAAAGTTCTGTATAGTAAATCTTGATTTGTTGTTATTTCTGCACTCATTTATACTTTTTTATAAGGCAAGGATTTTCCATCACAACCATTTCCATAGCTTTTATAAAAGAAAGTTTAGCAGCAATGATTTCAAATACATTTTAAATGTGTCATTCTGAGAAATTTCAATGCACTTTATATAGCATTTTTAACTTATTATGCACTATTTATAGTCTTATTAATGGCTCCCAGTCTTTTCTCAAGATGGAAACTAAGGGAAGAAAAATAATACTTGAATGGATAAAACTACAGCCCTTACATTTTTTGAGGTACTTCTTAATTTTAATGTATGTCTGAAGTATAAAAGTGATTGATATATTTAAATAATTCATCTGTAAATATAGAAATCTACAGAAGGAAATTGCATGCCTCAAGGCAAAAACTGATTTCTGGCAAGAATCAGGAAAGAATGGAGAAAGGCAAGGAAATCGAGAAAGAAGAGTACATAGCAAGAAACAAATGTGAGCCCCAGAATGGCTGGATTCTGTCACTGGTATAACTTAGATTTCATACAAAATTTAACTGTAAAAAAAAATCCTATTAAATCACGTTTGTACTTAAAGGAGATAATATTCCTCGTGTTGTATGAATCTGTTCTGAGATGGAATGTGAGGATTTTAAGACAACAGTATCTTGGTCTTCATAGGGGTTGAGGGGAGATTACATTGTTATGGAAATAAGTAGCAGGGAAATACTAAATGTCTACAAATTTCTTTCCTCAGTTGTACAGAGTTTCTTTTTGAGCTGCCACACAACCACAAGAGACTGGAGTTCTTCCTTTAGTTCAGCAAAACCCACTGTCCTGAACTGAATATTAGCAGTGGAAAATATGTGCTTTCTGGTTATTTCTAGTGTGCAACAGTATTCTTCCATTATTCTGATGAAAAACTGTTCTTAGCTAAAAGTTCCAGGCTTCTGTTATTAATATGGACTTGAAAGAAGCATAAGGTCAAAAAATCTGCAACCAAAATGCAGCTAATAAATTTCCTTCCACTGCAGTATTTTTCCAACTGATTTCTAATTTCTAGTTTGTTTCTTCTTTAGAAATCATGAATTTATTCTGTTGGGTTCCCATGAAACTTAGAAACAAATTTAGTTTCATTGTGTTTCTGTTTACGTAGCTTGTAATGACTTTAAGATACCTCAACAAAGTTAGTATCGGAAGATTCCACTTTTCATAGATTTGTTTGCATGTTTTCAGACTCCTGGCCGACTGATTGATATCTTGAGGTAGCTGAACAAATGGTTACCTTAAGGTAACTGTTTCTCTAAGTTTGAAGAATTATTTTACTCCTTTCAAGGTACTTTGCTTTAAGTACTACATCAACTTCCACATGCATATTTATATTTTACTACTGTAGTATAAAACGTTACATTTTCCTTTTTTGAGGCTGAATGAATATTGTCACTGGGAATAATACTGATCATCTAAACAACAGTATATGAATTTTCTGTCAGTATGACATAATTTTATGAAGGTCTAGTGTGATGTTGGTTGAAATTTATGTAAAGCACAAGGTGTAAAAATAAACATGTTGATTGAAAGTTCCTGTCAATATACCCTAGTATTGACTCAGAATCCTCAAATCCCATTTTGGAGGCCTTCTTTCAAAACCTGTTATAGACTAGGTATTTTTCGTCAAGTTGAGTATCTGTGTGGCATGTGGAACATCAAAACCCCATGTGAAACGATTTACCAATCACTGCCTAATGACTCTTTAGAAGAGATTTTGTTTTACTGCCAGACCATGTCAATCATTTGCATGTAAAGGCCAAAGGAATTGTCCTGAATCATCCAGGTTTTAATGATGTGAGTGTTTTCATAGCTTGAAGGAGCCGTGCTAAGTCTTAGAGGTATTTTAACATAAACAATCAGGAAAAACTTTTACAGGAAGGATTGAAAAGAAATTTTAATTCCAATTACAGTCTTTGACTGACTGGTTAGTACAGCTTTGAGTGTAGGTCAGAAACCTAAAAATGACTGGTTTTAGTGATGAGTAAGTGGCTTTCTTTTTTTTTCTATTAGATAGAAAATGGCCGGCTGTGGAACTCTATTGTGAAGACCTCGGAAGAAATATCAATTTTTCCAGTCAGCTTTTCATAATGTAAATATAATTTGAGCTTTCCCAAATGGGCAGCTAAACAATGAACAAGAGGAAAACCCCAATTTGGACTGTATTTCTGAACCAGGCTTCACCTTCTGTCTCGGGAATTTATTAAAGGATTACAGCTGAAAAAGACAAGAGAAAGAAAACCTTGAACAGGAAGCTTGTCCTACAATGAGAATTACATCTTGTATCTGCCCAGTCCTAGTTTGTCTCTGTTTTGTGCAGAGGTCTTATGGAGCTGCTCACCATGGCTCCATCAAGGTGACTAGAAATCAAACCAAACACATAGAAGGCGAAACAGAAGTGCATCATCGTCCCAAGCGTGGATGGGTGTGGAATCAGTTCTTTGTTTTAGAAGAACATATGGGACCAGATCCTCAGTATGTAGGAAAGGTAAGGTCATTGTCTTTTTTTTGGTTTTGGTTTGTTTTTTTTCCCATTTTCTGAACTGTGGCATTGATAGAGGAAAACTCTAGATGGCACCTCTTTTTTTAAAGGAGGATGTACCTCTTAGATTGGTACATACATTCACGTTGAACTTGCCAGTTGTATACTGTGTTTATTATAAAGAAAAAAAATTACAAAAGTATATAGGGTGAGGATAATAAAATATGATAAAACAGCTTTTCTTCTGAGCTCAGCTAAACACAAAGTGAGTGCCGTTGAGGCTGTTACCTCAGTTTCCAGATCCCCCAATGCATGGGGTCATAGCTAAAGGCTTTTCCAGACTATTTCAGAATTATATTCAGTTCTGCTTAAAAGAACATTACAAATGCAGTCTAGGCTCCATAGGGTGTTCATTCCACTCTGACTGTAGGGTAGAAAAAGTCTCCTCCAAAAGGAAATTCTCTGTGACTTCCTTCATAAAAAGAGGCACAAGGTGTGTTACTTGTTAGAGTTCCTCAGAAGTCTTTGAGAACAAGCCCTGCATTTATGTTTTCATGTATAGAGTGAGCTTCAGACAAAAAGATCAGGCTGATGTAGTTGAACTGAAACCTGGCCAACTGAAGTCTCGTTGTGTAATGTTGTCTGTATAGCTTGGGTTTTAAATTTGCATTAAAATAATGCAAAACTCTCTGTGTAGCTTTAAGGTATGGTGTATGACAGAAGGAGTATTTTCTCCCCCTGAATTCTGTCTTGCAGCATTATGATAGATTTTTTTTATTACATAATCTAAATAAGTCTTAATTTCCTTAATAGAAATGGAGAAAGACATTTAATATGAGGCATAAAGAAAGGTGGACATGGTAAAGGAACTACTTCTTTTTAGTTTGCCTTCTAATGGGGAATCCTGAAATTACATTGTAGAGTAAGAAAAACATCCAAGGAAACTAGTAGCTTCTGAATCACAGATGGCTGTTAGTGAGGGCTTTCAAATTTGAACAGTGTCATCTGAAATAAAAATAACAAGTGAAGCAACTGTGTTTAAACTACTGTTAACACAAAGACAAAAAAAAAAGTATTTATTCAGTTACACCAGCCTTAGTAAAACACCAAGTATTTCAGCACACCAAAAATTGTTGAAATATGTGCAGGAAATGTAAACTGAGAAAAGACCTTTCTAAATGGAGCTAATGATTTGCATTGAAAGAGAAGCTTTTAAAATAGGTGAGGGAACAAGGAGTTATCTCTGATAACATTTTCATAAATGATTTTGGAGTAGAAGAAACATGTTGCAAACATCTTGCTGATGTAACGCTATGCAGGAGAATAAAACATTGTCTGGAGAGAGCTAGATATCATGAATATGATTTGGATATAGAAATATAGAGTAAACCTCAGGTCTACAAGGTTATAAGGCTCTTACAAAACAATATAATGAATTTATGTTATACACTAGTGGTTTATTGTAAATGACAGAGAAAGAGAAGGGTCTGGTTACCAGATAAAACATTGCCTCTAATGTCATACTTGAAAGAAGGTAAGTATGATACTAAGCTGCAAAAGCTGAGATAATAAAAAAACAGGGATAAAGTAGTATTGAAGACATTGTGCAAAATAATGTTAACCTATTTACTGTACTGGCTAATTTTGTTCGAGAAAAATGGATTTATATATGAAGCTATACAGAGAAAATTAAATACTATGGCTAAGATGGTAGTGGAGAATATGTTTGTTTAATTATTCCCAAATAGAGAGGGCACATTATAATACACCTCAGAAGAAACCACAATGAAAAGAGAAAAGCTATTTAAGTTGATGAAATTTTACTTTATATGGGAACAAGAATAATTCAGATTCTGAAAGAGTCTACTAATAGGAAGAATTAAAAAAAAAAAAAAAAAGCTGAAGGGGTTTCAAAGTTAAGTGTGCTTGTCTTTATGAAAGTATTTATAGACATGATTTCATGCCAGAACAGAGGTCTGGATTCAGTGAACTAAAGCATGATCCCTTTCAATTTTATGTTCTTATGATAGCATTATGTATTTCATTTCATCCTCTGACCGCTCTATTAATGCTACATTTACAGAGATCAATCAATAGAGTTTCTTTCAGTCCTTTGTGGTCAAAATGTGACTGTATGCCTTGTTTGAGGACATTCCTTCTTCTGTACTGAGAGATTTTTCCTCCCTCTTCCTCAAAGAATTCCCTCTGATGCTTACAATTTTCTGCTCTAAGTACTTTACAACATTAGCAAGCTTATCTTTGCGAAACCTTTGTGGAACTTAAAAACAACTGTACTCTATTTTCCATTTGTTGTGATGATTCTGATGACCTGATTTACAGCAAAGATCAATCATATTAGCTCAGGCATATATTTATATTAAGAAAAAAAACGGTGAGGCTGTCATAATATTAGTAATTAGCAAAATTTCTGTAATGGTCATTATGCACGAGCTCCTTTTCATTTTGAAAAATAGATGTTTTACTAATGTTGCAATTAATTGTACACACCCCATCAAGGTCTCATTCTATGTACCTTTAATTTGACAAGTGATTTTTGTGCAAAGTCTCTCCATTTATAAAAGAATGTAGTGCCCTTTAATTCCAGGCTTCTGTTCGGTGGCAGCATGGTATCAATTCTGTCAATTATTAATTCTGTAGACTACTCTGCTTCACTGGTGAGAGTTTTGCCATTTGAGATCTGTCCTTTCACATTTTTCACACTCAATTTGGGAGTAACATCACAGAAAGCAGAGTCATTATGTACAATGCTGTTATAATGATCACAGTCATTGTCATGGAAATGCACACTGAGGACAAGAATAGGGTAGGCCTGCAATGAAAATGGTAAGGTTTCTTATTCTTGCCATGAAATGATTGTCAAGAGGATGGATTAATTCGCTGCCATCATCTGTTACACAGCAAGCGTCAGGACAACAAATCACCATTATATTTTAATATCAAGCATATACCCATTCCTCAGACATTATTTCTTTTCTCTAAGAAAATGTCATTTGGAGATTGGAAAAATTAATATAAAATTAATCCATATTAGCCATATGCAGAAGGGTTTTATGTATGGCAAAACACACATCCTGGAAAAATGAGGTTATTGTAGAAACAAGAAATTATACTTTTGTAGATGATAAGTATTTTCTGTGGTTCTCGGTTTATTGAAATGGTTCACTGCTGTTGCACTTGGGGTAAGGTTTCAATGTTTCAGGGTATGTTTCCCTGAAGAAAGAACTCAAAAAAATGGTTTTGTATTTAAAAAGATATCTTTAAAGAATTTAACACCACAGTGACTTCTTTTTCCAAAACTATGAATTATCTGGGGAGTATGTCTTGAAAATATGAATTATTTGGTTTCCCAATAATCAGTAGTATCTAGCTATGTTAGTTCAGAACGACTATTCATCTACAATAGCAAGCATGCGTGTGTTTATCTGCATGAGGGTGTGCAATGCTGAATCTGTGGAAATTTGAATAAACGAGATAAAATATCCTTGTGTAAAATAAGTAACTTGAATGCACAGAACTGAGCTTTGAGCTACATGAGACCTTTTGTCTTTTGCATGTCTCTGATGTAAATTTTTCCAATTAAAAAAATAGTTGTGAATGCAGAAAGGGGCAGGGTTAGTGAATGCACCATGACCTGGTGAGGAATTGGGTACCTAATGCACCAGCTCAGAGGAATGAAGATTCTCCTGAAGAAATCTAGAAAAACTTAGACTGTGGGACTGCAAACTTTAACATTTCTCAGTTGTCATGGTTGATATAGTTTACCTTTCTCTTGAACTTTCTGCGTGCTTCTAGGTTAGATAACTCATGTCTTAGGATATGATAAAAATAACAAAGAATTTTAGAAAGAAGTGAAACACTATATGTTTCAGTCTATTCTTCATTTAGAACCTTCACACCTCTCTCTGCAGAAGGTCTGCTCCTTCTTGAAAGGATATTTCTTGAAGGTCAGTTGCACTGGAAGCAAGTCATAACTACACATTCGCTGTGCTTTTTTCTTTGGAGAGAGAAGTCAATAAGCAGTGATAAAAGGAAGATCAGTGTGAATTTGAGGCTGAGTGAGTCATGCTATTAAGAGGGAATAGCAGAAAAATATAATGCACAAGACTGACAATTTCTCTGTGGACCCTTTGGATCTCTGAAATACAAAATGTATACCTCTTAATCCACTTTCAGATGTCCTCTGAAGGGTAAAGAAGAATGATTGTTCTGGTATTCAGATCTGTGTTGGTTTTCAAATGCATTTTTCTTCCAAAATTTTGCGAGTGACACTTTTCTTAGTTCTTACATTTTTATCTGTAGTTCAAAAACAGTTTCAGATTTGTGTTGATGCAGGAGATAAGGAGGTATGGAACAGTTGGAAATGAGTGTGAATTCAGGAAAGGGAAGGGGAAGAGGAAAGTAAGAGCTTTTAATATGTCTTGAAATGCTTTGTTGAAAGTTAGATTAGGAAAGTAATCCCAGTTCTTACATTGGATTTACAAGATAGTAATTCTGTTAATTTATTATTTTATTCTTGAAAACATAAATACGGCATAACAGATTTGCCATTCGAAATCATTTTTCAAAGTAATATGTGACGTGATTAAAAGAAGTTAGTTCTAATACAGGACAGTTAATCTAATCTTCCTCGATCATATTAAGAGAATTTAACATTAACTGATTTAATTACAGTAAGGGGAAATTATGTATATTTTAGAATAAGTGCCAAGGAAGAAATAAAAGTGGAGTTTTAGAATTAAAATGCTTTTATTCAATGATAGAGGTTTACATAAAGCACATCAGATGTTTCAGCATTTTAAACATAAGCAAAATAGTTCCAAGTTTTTTTCTGATTAAAAAAGAGTTGTATTTTATAATAGAAAAAATTAAAAGGAAAAGGTAGATGATATAGTCTGAAGATTTTGTACATGGCCTGTTTGCCATTTTCATGCCTCTGTAAGAAGATAGACAAGTGGTATAAGCAGCAAAAGCAACATCTCGAGTAA